CTTGGTAAAATGTCCAAGGATTCACTCAAGGTCACACCAAGTTTGTGATCTAGTTCTCAGGACCAGAGCACCCTGCTGGAGAGCTGCCAAGGTCAGTTTCTGAGAAACTGAACTTTACATTAAGCCCATGTCTGCCAAGGCCAAGAGGCAAAATTCCATCACCAGACTCCTTCACATGACCAAAGTCCAACTTGGTGAGGCAACTAATTTTATCAGGATTACTTACAGGAGTGTGGGTGAAGGATTACTTACAAGAGCCAAAATGGCTCAAAGACAGTTGCAACACCAAAGGGTTTCAGCAGCACGGGCTCATGAAAGTTGGAGACCTGGAACACATTTTACACGGTGGCTTGGAGAGGATCCTTTCCACGTGACTCTGGTCTAACCCTCTTCCAGGCATCGGCTGGTCTTTGTTTCTTCTAGGCAGTTCTGTTGACCTCTGCTTCCACCTGGCAACTGGGCTTGCCTGGGAGTGACACTTTGCAGACTTTATTGTTCCTGTAGTCTTGCAGAGGGAGGGACTTCGTGAACATGGCTTTCTTCCTGCCTTGAGGAGCTTTCTGTTACACAACACCTGGGACATGGACACATGGACATGGCCATAGCCTGGCATTTCCACACCTACTTTCCCAGAAAAGATGCACAGAACAACTTAGGGGTAAGTCTACACTTTGGACAGGATGACCCTCTGTTTCAGGGGACGTAGGGCACACAGCTAAGGTAGCAGAACCAGACTCTGTGACAATGCTTTGCCTCAAGCATACAAATATAACCTCCATATGGGCAGATTCTGGGAATTCAACATGTCTTACGGCGCTGGGGAGTCCATTCCTCACAAGGCTCAGCAGCCCGTGGGTTCTGTGTCTAAAGGAGCTATGTCCCTAATTGATGTGGCCGGGGTGTTATAGTCATCTCCGGGAGCTTGTACAACTAGAAGTGTGTTGGTGAAGATCCAGGCCAGCAGGAGAAGACTTCGCCGCCTCAAAACAATCAAATAACATTGTTCTGCCTATAAGAGAAAATATGTATTTGTTCTTTCTGCGTCTGGCTTATCTCACTTAACATAGTGCTTTCCAGCAGCATCTTCCCAGAAAGTGAGAGTTCATCGATCTGTACGGCCGAGTAATATTCCATTGTGTACAAGAGCCACATTTTTTTTTTTTTTGATCTATTGATGGCCATCTAGGCAGGTTCCACTCTCTGGCCATTTAGAACACTGCAGCAATAAACATGGACGTGCAAGTATCTCTGAGCTGTGTGACTCACACTCTTTCGGTATGTACCTAAGAGTGTCCACATAGAGTTGTAAGGTAGTTTTGTTTTCAGCACCTCTTTTAAGATTTATTTCTATTTTTATGTGCATTGATGTTTTCCCTTCATGTATATCTGTGTTGGATCCCTCTGGAACTGGAGTTACAGACAGTTGTAGGCTGCCATGTGGGTGTTAAGAATCAAACAGAGGTTTTCTGTAAGAACAGCCCATGTTCTTCATCTCTCCAGTCCAGTATATCGTTTGTTTGGTTTTTTTTTTTTCCAAGACAGGGTTTCTCTGTGTAGCCTTGGCTGTCCTGGAACTCACTTTGTAGACCAGGCTGGCTTGGAACTCACAGAGATCCACCTGCCTCTGCCTCCCAAGAGGTAGGATTAAAGATACGTACCACCACAAGTCTGGCTAGCATTTGTTTTCTTGATGATAGTCGTTGTGACTGGAGTGAGAAAGACTCTCAAATAAGTTTTAATTTGCATTTTCCTCCTGGCTAAAAATGCTGAACACATTAAGATCAGCACTTATTAGCCATTTGCATTTATTTGTTTAAGAACTATTTGGTTCAGTACTTCACTAATTTTTAATTATGCATACGCCATGTGTGCGGGGCTTTTGGATTCTCTGGAGCTAGAGTTATAGGTAAGCGTATTTGGTTTCTCTATTTTATGTGGGTTTTGTATCTCTACCTCTCTTCCAACCCTTATCCCCCCATATTCCTGCCAACACCCCAATCTCTCCAGGTAGGAGAAATAGAAGGTTAGAGGGGAAAGGGGGCATAGGTCTCTTTAGACTACTTCCTGCTGATTAGGGTTATCGGTTTCCTTGGGGGCAAGTCCAGTCTTTGTCATCAGAATTTCCAGCAATAGCAAACACAACAGCAAATGCAGCAGTGGGAAGAACCAGCAGCAGTGGGGATGGGGGTGGGGGCAGGCAGCAAAGAACCAATCCCCTCACCAAAAACTGCAAGCAGACCTGAGGCTCCTGAGTGCTGTGGGCTTGTCCCGGGCATTGGACTGCCAAACTTCTGTCTGCCTTCTGTCTGCCTGTCAGTCCCTTCCCCCAGACAGAGACTGGTGCGGCGGACGGAAGCTGTGTCAGGTGTGTTTCTCTGTGTGACCTGTTTGTTCTGCCCCTCCACCATCTTTTCACTTCCTTGGTGGATTTCTAAAGATTTTTTTTTTCTATTTCAGAACCCCCCCCCCTTTTCCCTCCTTTTTCTGACTCTCTTTTTTTTTTTTTTTGGGGGGGGGGGGGGAGTGGGGAGTTTCGACACAAGGTTTCTCTGTGTGTAGCTTTAACTGTGCTTGAACTCTGTAGGCCAGGCTGGCCTGGAACTCACAGAGATCCGCATGTCTCTGCCTCCTGAATGCTGGGACAAAAGGCAGGCACCACCACCGCCCAGCCTGACTCTCTTTTTCATCAGCTCTCACAGAGGCAGTCATTACTCCGCCATTGTCTTAGCTAGGGTTTCTATTGCTGCAGTGAAATACCACCATGACGAAAGCAACTTGGGGAGGAAAGGGTTTATTTCGGCTTACACTTCAAAGTAACAGTCCGTCACTGAGGAAAGCCAGGGCAGGAACTCAAACAGGTCCAGAACCTGGAGGCAGGAGCTAATGCAGAGGCCATGGAGGAGTGCTGCTCACTGTCTTGCTCTTCATGACCCCTCCCTGCTTCTCCTTCACTGAGGTCCGGCAGCCTGCAGCCATTTTCCTCCATTTATTTCTTGTATGTTGAACCTCATTTTTAGCACCTGTTCTTAAAGGTCAAAATTAATGTACCACCCTCTCCCTGACTTCAGGAGGATCCATCTCCCTGACCTAAGGCTGACCTACACTAAGGATCAACTAATTCCAGTGGTAAAGTTTGGATAATTTTTTTTTTCAGTAATGGAGACTGAACCCAGGGCCTTGAACTACATAAACACCCTATCGATGAATTATATTCCTACTCTATTTCATACTTAAAAAAAAAATCATGTGTGTGTGTTTGTGTGTGTGTATGTGCTGTGGCAGAGGACAACATGTGGGAGGGAGTTTGTTCTCTTTTTCTACCATATGAGTTCTGGAGGCCAAACTCAAGCAGCTCTGTCAACATGTGCCTTTATGTGCTGAGCCATCTCACAGGCCCTGTACTTTTATTTTGAGACAGGGTCTCGCTAAGTTGTCCAGGCTGCCTTGGACTTATGTCCCCTTGTCTCAGCTTCCTGGTTACACTTCCTCTGGCCCCTTTTGTGGTATGACCCTAACCATTTGGCAGTTTCTCTGCCGTAAGGTGAACCCAGTCAGGCACTGACAAGCTTTTTTCCCTGAGCTACTGGATCTTGAGTCCTGTCTTCATACTGACATTAGCCCTGAAAAAAAAAAAAAAGTTGTATTTTATGTGAATGGGTATCTTGCCTGCATGTCTATGCTCTATGTGCATGCAGTGCCTCAGAAGGGGGAGAAGAAGGCCTCAGACTCTTTAGAACAAGAGTTACAGTCAATTGTTAGCCACCACGTGGATGCTGGATGAGTAGAGGAGTCTCCATCCTTTCAAGAGCAACAAGTGCTCTTAACCACTGAGCCATCTCCCCAGCCAGATAGGAGTCTTGCTGCGTCCTGCTTTGCTCACCTCAAGCCAAGCTGGATCCTGTGCAAAGCCCAGCTCATCACAACCAATTTCTCAGACAGATGTTCAGCCTCTGCCACACACTCATGTTTATTTTGAACATCTTCCATGTACGAGCTACAGAGGCAAAGGTAAATAGGATCCCATGCTTGCCCCAAAGAGACCCCAGTGTGGGGAAACAGCCCCCCTACATTACCACATTGTATCCTCACAAGCATACCCTGTTTGTGAGGAGGCCTCCCTGCAGCCTGAGGACATTCCAAGGTAGGCATTCTAAGTGGAGGAAGCTGCCTACGCCTATGCCTGTAGGGGCGGGGTCACAACTATGGCTGACTCTTCCTGTCTATCCAGCTGTGCCATCCCAGCTGAGCCCTGTGCAGGGCATTGGATAATCACATACCCATTCACAGTCTAGTGGGTGTGGAGTGCCTGCTTACATACTTCAACCCAGGGTGCAATCCTGGCTTAGGCTCTCCAGCATGAAGGGATGCTAGAGACACCTTCTAGAAAACACCATTGTACAGGTGGGTTCTAACATCAGTGGCGAAAGAAGACAGATCGGTTATCCCAAGGAGTAGGGATGGCAGGTATGAACAGGAGAGCTGGTCAATGACTCTTGAACGAAGGAGACATAAGCCAGAACAGCTGTAAGGAATAGAAAATGGAAGAAACAGGAGTGATGGACCACTCTGACGTAACTTGGAAGGACATGATGGGTAGGACTGTGGCTAGGCAGACTGAGCCCGAGGAAGGGAGCGTGACAGCCTACGGTGGCATCAACTTCAGTGCCTTCATCAGATCTTTGATTGGGAGGCAGCTGCTATCCAAGACAGGTGCCGGGTCCAAGCTGGAGCAAAGGGTACACTCCAGGTTGGTGACAAAACTGGCCTGGTAAAAAAATAAATAATTGGACCAAGACCACAAGAGGTACTTGAAGCGAAATGTGCCATCTGGGACACAGTTGTCACATGGTGGGACATAGAAAGCAGTTAGAGGGCAACCCAGTGTCCAGCACCAGGCCCAGGGTGACCCTTGAATAGGCCCTCTTCCGCAGATCTGCTGTAGCGGGGACTGGCGACAGCAAAGATAGTGTGTGCCCATGAATATGGATACCGAGCCTGGCTCAACGAGGTTCGGGGCAGCTCCATCGGCCTGCAAGGCTCCGGCGTAGGAATGGACTATCGTCATAGAGTGGATGGGGCCTTGTCGGATATGAATGATGGCGGATGAAACGGAAGAGGCGGGGGCGGCGTGTTTGGACTTGCGCCTGAGCGAGCAGCGCCACCTGCTGGGCAGATACTCGCGCCGCCGAGGACACCGAAGACTCCGGGTCGCCCTGCAGCTGTCCTAGATCTGCATAAAGGGACAACTCAGGCTGAAGGGGGAGAGGAGCCTGGGGCTGGCTCCCACTCAGTCTCTCCCCCCCCTCTCCTACAGCACCCTCCCCATTTCCCTTCAGCACCCCCCCCTTTCCAACACTCTACCCCATGGTAGATCTGGTCCTCACCCTGGAACAGAGAGTCCAACAGGTCCTGACTGACTCCATTGGGGCTAGCGTGATAGACCAGGAAGCCTGTACCAAAGCAAACCGATGAGGTCTGGCCCGTGCCTAGAAGGGGCCAGCCGAGATCTCAGAGCCCTGAGCGGCTAAGCCGGCCTTACCTATTAGCACAGTGGCTGCGCGGCGCAAGGCGTCCTGTGGGCTGCGCAGGTAGCCCTGGGTCTGACTCAGGAAATACTGAACATGGCTTGGATACCGCTGAACCTAGGAACACACATGCTCATGACAGGACGGAAGTACCAGTCCTTCATGGACAAGGGGCTGGCGCAGGCATGGCGCAGGCAACGTCAACAAAGGCCTCAAAGGAGCAGAGGTGGTCATGTTTAGCTCAGGCAGAGACTCTGTCTTGAGGGGGTGTGCCTTACAGCATCCTAGGACAAGTGAGCAGCTCACCATACCCTGGGCCCACCATGCTGCTTGTTCTACTAACCAGGCAGTGGCAGACACGGCTTAGAGCCTCCGGGCTGTCATAGTGGGCCACAGTAACCATCTCCTCCAGGAGGCCCCATCGAAGGGCCCGATCACAGCGGGCTAGTGTCCACTCCGAGCTCTAGAGTGGAGGAAGCAAGCAAGGTTAGGGGATCCAGGAGATGCCAGGCGGTGGGTTGAGGCTAGAAAAGGCTGGCAAGGCCCAGAGTGAAGTGCTTAGCTAGCAGACCAAGGGAAGCCCAAGGGAAGTCCTTGAGGTCCCTGTCCTTGGCTTGAAACCTTCAGAGAGGATACAAGGTAGGAGTGGAAGGACTGGGTGAGACAGATACGGGACAGGACACTGACCTCAGCGGCGTCCTGGCTGGAGTCATGGAGACGCAGCAGCAACGGCACCAGACTCTGTAGCACCAATTTCCGCAGGGGTCCCCGAAGCCCCAACCGGAGACCCCTCTGTCCCCGCCGCACCAGCGTCCCGAGGAGTCCCACAGCTGAAGCGCGGACAGAGTCCCGAGCCTTTGTGTGAAAAGACAGAGCTCAAGGAAAGCCCGAGTGGAAGAAGAGATCAGCGCAGGGCAGGGAGGTTCGGGTCTGATTGGGCTGCAGATCAGGCCTTCATCTGGCGGCAGGCCCATAGGCAACTGGGGGGGGGGGGCTAGAGAGAGCTCATGGGTGGGGTTGAGCATCCGTGGACATTTCCAAGCGGGACGCCATGGGACCACAGGGCCGGATTTTGCTCACATCGTCCAGTAGCGGCGGGAGGCGTGGTCGCAGTTCAGAGCTGAGGAGCCTCACAGGTGCTCCTGGCTGCAGCAGTATTCTCCGCAGCGCACCCAGGGCAGCGCCCACGAGCCTCGCGTCCCCCTCGCCCAGCGCTCTTAGGAGTACCGGCAGCAGCGTGTTCACATGCCTTATCTGTGAAGACAGGACTCGTGGCTGGACCCTTCCGGACTCGGCCTGGGACCCGCTTCGCCCCGCCAGGCACTACCAGATCGGCACCTTCCCACGATTCATGGCAAGGTGCCCAAGGCCAAGGAGGCCTAGCCAGCGCACGGTGGGCTCTGGGTCGCCCTGCCAGGTTCGAAGCCGCTCCAGGATGACTTCCTCACGCAAAAGGCGTGCAGTGGGCTGGCTCTGCAACAGCTAAGCATGGGGGCACAGATTCAGCGCTTGTGTCCACGCCGGCAGTCACCCCGCTACCCTTCTGGGAAGCAGGCTCACCCCGGTAAAGAAAGCCATAGCGGTGAGGCGCTGCTGGTTGTTGGCGCTTCGTAGCCGAGGAAGCAAGTCTGCAAAAAGGCCTCGCAGGTGGTGGTCCGCATGCGTCACCATGGCGCTGGGGTAGGATAAAAGGGAGCTCTTCCTCCGCCTGGAAGGGCTCATCCCCACCACCTCCCCCACGTGACCAGCGGGGAACCTCCTCCTGTCGTGCTGTCCTGGGGTGCCTCCTCACCTGGCTAGCAGCAGGACGCCCTCCAGGTGAGTGTGGGCTCCTACCAGTCTCCTCCAGCCTCCTGCTTGCTCCATGCACGTGACTACCATGCGGCCACCGTCCCCACTGAGCAGAGCCTTCAAGGCCTCCACTGTGCAGCTGGCGGTGGGAACAGTCTTGGGCAGCGGGCCATGAGGGTTTAGGAGGGTCTGTCCCGCCCCTCACTTAGCCCAGTATACCTCCTCACCTGGCGTGGCTGTGAGGTGGGCCTCGGCGAGAAGGCTCCCAAACCTTAGGGCTCTCCGGGGAATGAACACCTTGAGCCAGCTCGTGTAGCTGGGTGACCAGTGCCAAGAGCAGGTGAGGGTAGAAGCCTCGCGTGGCTCCCACGCAGCCAGAGACTGCCAACATCTCTCCAAGAGCACGCGTGGCCTGCAGGTCAAGAGAGCACACGATTAGGATCCTGTCCAATTTGGACGTGTGCAGGATATCCCAAACAAGAGTGACTCTGGAGCTAACCTGTGGTTCCACCACCACAAAGCTACTCTTTGGCTGCTTGTGGCCAGGCCACGCCCCCCCCCCATGGCATTTGCTGGAGCCACTTACTGCCAGTGCCTCGGGCTCAGGACCTGCGGTGCCCTTCAGTGCCCACAGCAGTTGCACCAGCACCTGCCCGTTGACGCGCTGGTTCCTGCTTAGACTTCGCCACAGCTCGGCGGCTGCCCTGGGGGTAAACGGCCATGTAGTGAGGAGGAAATGCATGGAATCCTCGGCCAAGACCACCACTGCGACCCTAGGAAAAGGCTCCAGAAGTAAATCATCCTTTACCCTTTCGTGGTCCCATATCCCAGGGAAAATAAATACAGACTACAACAGAGCCAGTCCCAGAGATCAGCAGTCAGCTGGGCCACACTGCGCCCTGTTGTGTCAGCAACGGGGGGAAAAAGACCTGATATTATTATTGTTGTTGTTGTTGTTGTTGTTGTTGTTGTTGTTGTTGTTGTTGTAGAGAATAAACTAAAGATAACCTCTGTGGTAACTGACCCCGAAGAGCCAGAGGCTTCCAGGAGCTCAAGCCAAGGAGCTTGCTTATCCCGCCCACATCTGCAGGTTAAAAAAAAAAAAAAAAAAAAAAAAAAGCAGGAGGGTGTGGGTGTTTGTGTTTAACTAAACCCGGGTATGGACTGGGGCAGTCGAGGGGAGGGGAGGCCCTGCCCCCTTACAGCCCGGTGCTGCAGGGACCAGATTCTATGATCAAGCAATCAAGCAGGAAAAAGGAAGGAAGCTGCGTGGGGCAGCGCTAGCAGAGAGGGTTACCGGTCAGGGGGAAGTGAACTGGGTAGCAGCGCACACACCACGTCCTGCGCATGCTCCAGAGCCAGCGCGCTCAGCACCCGGAGGGCTGCCCGCCGGGGCCTCCCCTCCGCCAGGCTAGGCACCTGTGCCAGCAGTCCACGCACCAGACTGTGGACCTGGGTAAAAGGAACAAACGTGAGCGGTCAGGGCCGCTGGACCTCAAAGGAAACGCTTGCCAGCACCGTGCCCACCTACACTCAGAGCAGCCTTTAGGGGGAGTGCGGTCGAGGTTGTTTGGATTCTCCTCGCGTTCGGAAGGGAGGCTTGCAGGATTCTCTGGGTGGGGGTGGGGATGCTAACCTGGTCCTCCAATCGCTGGCCACGGGCCTCCAGGGCTGAGGACAGGGTGAGCGCTGTTGCTTGGGTCCCGGCATACCCAGCGTCCTCCAAACAGGCAGCTGTATACACCGCAAGATCTGCAAGCGTCCCTTCCTCCCAGGAGTACTGGGAGGCCGAGAGAAGGGAGAGTGGAACGTGGAGTTTCTGAAGTCCCCAAGCCTATCTCAGCTATGCTCCCTAGGCCTCCGTTCTCCCCATCCCTCAGATGGCTTCACACTCTCTTCCCCTATGATCTTTTTTTCCATCCCTCTTTCACCCTCAGTACTTTCCCCGGCTCCAGTACCTCTTGTCTTTCCAGTGCTTAATCGACCAGCCAAACCTTGTACCATCCATCATCGCTCCTCAATAGCACTCACCTGGTAGAATCTCTCAGGGGCTGGCTCCCTGGCGTTGTGTGGGGAACAGTTTCCACTGCCAGCTGTTGGGGCAACCACTTCATTCCCAAGCTGGGCCTCCGAGGCGGGGGTGAGCGTTCGAGGGTGGATCTCAGCCTCAGGTCCAAGCTCCAGGTGCTCAGCCTGAGGGCCTGTAGAGGAGGGTCCCACAGGCTGCCCCTGGTTAGCCCGGATTCCTTCAGCTAGAGCTGTCAGAGTTAGGGACCCCACAGGGCCATCCCGGCCCCGGCCCCACACACCCCCAGCCATGGTGTTCCTACCAGCGGCACTTGCCGCCACTCCTCCAGTGAAGCTGGGTCCAGACCTGACCTAGAATCAGGCCCCGGGCGGGCCCACAGACAGGCGTGGTGGCGTGGGCATATCCGCACATGCGTGTTTGCGCATGTGCCAGTAGTTGGCTGGGCAATCACAGAGGTATCCCAGCACGGGCTTGTGAAGGGTGCTGCTGGAGCTTAGTGGAATGACCAGTCTGCATAGTCTGGCTCTGCCCACCAGTGCCCATAGAGATAGTGGACTATAGAGAAGAAGATCTTTAACCCAACTGTCTGTCCCTCATGCCTGGGGGAGGGGTCCAGGGCAGTTTTAGAGCATTCTGAAAAGGCCCTCAAAGGGTCAGGGGCCTTGTCACACAGCCAGACATACTGGGAATGGGTGTGGTCAGATTCGGTCATCATCCCTGAGCTTGAGATATTTGGGGTGTGGAGCCAATGAGGTGAGGGCAAATGATGCCTTCTGAGTACGCTTGCAAGTGCCCACTATCGTGTGGTGTGCCCCTCTGCATCCTAGCCAGTGCTGAGGTGGCATGTCTTTATGCCCTAGACATCCTTCCACCTCTTAGCTGTGACTGCTGGCCCCATGGCTGCCTGGGCAGGGTGTATGTGTACTCTCTGCCCAGCTGTATCCCCTTTCGGGTTCATGCTCCCCAGGCTTGGCCCAACCTCTGCTCCAAATCCCCACTCTCCACCCAACCACACTATAGTGACTGCCAGGGGAGCTGGACGAACTGGTCTAACACACTACCTGGGCGGGCGGAAGTGCGTGTGGAAATACTCCAAGCAGTGGGCACTCGCCTTCTCCAGCTCACATGCCTCAGGCTACCCAAGCCCCAGCTCCTGCCAGGCCATGAGCATCCTGTGGTGGCTTGAAATAGAATGGCCCCCATAGGCTCATTCATTTGAATGTTTAGTCACCAAGGAGTGGCACTATTTGAAGATTGGGATTAGGAGGGGTGGCCTTGTTGGAGGAGGGGTGTAACTGGGGGGTGGGCTTTGAGGTTTCGAAAGCCCCCCGCCCAGCCCATTTTTCAAGATTTTTATTCGTTTATTTAGAATGCTCTATGTGCATGTACACCTGCACGCCAGAAGAGGGCGTAGATGGTCGTGAGCCACCAATGTGGTTGCTGGGAACTGAACTCAGGACCTCTGGAAGAGCGGACAGCACTTAACCACTGTGCCATCTCTCCAGCCCTCAGGATCTCTTTCTGTAGAACTCCCAGCTACTTCCCCATCACCATGTCTTCATGGCTGCCCATGTCTTCATGCTCCCCACTGTGATGACCATGTGACTAACCTCTGGAGCTGTCAGCAAGCCCCCAGTTAAAGGCTTTCTTCTGTAAGAGTTGTCATGGCCATAGTGACTCTTCACAGCAACAAAACAGTGACTAAGACGCTCCCTCCTGAGCACTTCCTCTGGAGTCTTGCCTAGCTTGCTGTGCCCAGACAGTTCCAGCCCTCACTGAGCCACTCCTTGGATCTTCAGCTGTTTTCACTTCCTCCTTCCATGGTTTTTGGGTCAGAAACTGAGACCCTAAGGTGATAGCTCATCATGCAGGGCTGGCTTGGGAAGCCTGAGATATCTCTGCTGATGGGGGACATTGCCCTTAGCAGACATGTATGCCTGAGGCTCTGCTGTGACTCTGACACCCCATCTCAAACTTAGAACCTCCCTATCTGCTTCTAGTGGGAGAGAGCGTTCACAGCAATGCCCTCAAAACAAAGGTGAGGATAAACCCTCCCTCTGTCCTATGGCCCTGCTGCTCCACTCAGACCTGGTTCCCACAAGCCCAGCCCCATGGCTACCTTCCCACATGCTGGGTGTTAAGTTTCAAACCCAGGACAAACAGCTCAGGTGCCTATTTAACATATCAAAGTGGACCTGGCCTCTAGGTTCTCCTGGCATCCCTCAGTACCTGTTAGAGGGTATGGTTGGCACATCCTGCCCTCCACCCTGCACTCTCCAGCCCAGGGCTGGGCTGTCTTTTCCCCAGAGGCTCTTCCCGATAATAATCCAGACATTTGGTTACCTGCTCTCTTTTTGTACTTTTGGCCTCCTGGCTGCTGCTGAAATTGCTTTCCCTCTCTCCCCATCACACACACACACACACACACACACACACACACACAGCTCAGGGTCATGGCCACCCCGGACTCTCCCAGATGTGTCTGCCTCCGCCTCTGCTCTCCCACATATCTATAATAAACTTTCTCCTCCATCATACCTAGGAGCAGCCATGTCTTTTCCTTTCTTCCCCCTCCCCACACTGGGCCCGTGCTTCCTCATGTTCCTGACCCCAGCTCAGGTCTGGAAGTCCCTAGAAACCAAGTGAGTAGCAGAGATTTGCAAACTAATGACACATCAAGTTTTATTTCTTTTCTTTTCTTATTCACTGGGCTTGTGCTTCCTCATGTTGCTGGCTCCAGCCCAGGTCCAAAAGTCCCTAGAAATCAGGTGAGTAGCAGAGATTTGCGAACTAATGATAAGTCATGATAAATCATGGGTGCAGTCGAGTCATGCTGTTTCCGGCAGTTTCACCACTCCTGTGATTTTCACAAAGGACCTCCAGCACTCAGACTGTCTACCAGTGCCCGAAGCTTCTCTGACAGTGCAACCTGCAGAGAGAAGAAGGGGGATATGGGCAGCTGGGGCTGGGGAGTGGGGGGGGGGTGTACACAGGACACATGGGGCAGGCCATCTACAGGCATACCGGATATACCGCAGGGCTCTGCAGCTGCTTATGAGCAGGACTGAGGCGGCTCAGGGACTGCTGGGCAAAGGTTCTGGACTCATCCAGAGATGGAAGTGGTTCACATAGCTGCAGGGGAGGGGAAAGGGAAGGTAGAGATGCTGGCTGGGGGTCAGAGCTCAGCTGAAGTGAAGGTGCAGGTGAGGGGCAGTTCACCTGTCCATGTTGCAGGCAGAGTCGCAGCAATGGCTCCACCTGGGCTGGCTTCACGGTGCGGGGCTCCTGGGCCCCTTGAGGCCAAACCCTGAGTTCCTGCCCAGCCTTGGGTGGGGGCTCTTCTGCCAACTGCAGTAGGTCCAGTAGCAAAGACCCTGTGTAAGAGGCAAGGATAAAGTCAAATAGGAGCCGGAGACTTGAAAAAAGGACAAAGGAAAGGCAGAGGGAATCACCATCAGAGCCTAGGAACCGGAAGGCAGCCTTGCTCCCTGGCAGTGTTTGCTTCTCGGGGTCTTCTGTCTTCTTCATCCGAGGTTGGCCTCCCACAGATACCAGCTGCAATGACAAGGTGTTTGGATAGCTGGACCCCTGTCCCCTCCCATTTATGATCTTCTCGACTTCCCCCACCTAGGGTCAAACATAATCTTCACCTTGTAGACACAGCCCATAGAAGGCTGTTTAGGACAGGTGACCACATTGGTACCAATGCCAATGACGTTCACCTCGCTGCCCTGTGGGGAGAGAAGGTGACATTAAGCCAAGCTGCCATCTGTAGGGTGCCAGGGCCCTCTGGACTACCCTCCACCTGTCCCTCTTCCACTCTACCTTCTGGGCCAGCCGAGCTAGCTCCTTCTCATCAATGTTGTTGCTGACTGCAATGGGAACAGATTCTAGCCAGGGCATCTGGAACCTGAATGTAATGGGTTCACACACCCCTCAGATGCTCCTGTTTTACCCTGGTATCTTGCTCCCCTTAGCCACGCCTATACCCACCCTTTGCTTAGGAGCCCCTAGTGGTTTTACCCGACTCCTTCCTTCCAGGGCTTTCTCAGTGGCTACTGAAACAGGGCCTTGGCCTTGCTATAAGAGAGAGTGTTTCCTCGCCCGAGTCCCAGCTCCCAACTCCCACGGGGAATTTCTAGCAGGCACACGGCACCCCAACGTGGGCAACTCACTGAGCACCAACAGTCCGAAAGATCCCACGGATCTTCTGAGCCTGCTGAAGCAGGTCACCACTGTCCAGCCTCACGCCCACTGCCCTGTAGCCTAGCTCCCCCAGCGCCAGGGCAACTGCCAGGAAGTTAGGAAGGCCACTCCTGCATGTAAAACAAGGGATCAGGGGCCCAGTTGCTCTCCCAAGGCCACCTTGCTAGAATGTTCACAGCTCACCTGTGTACACTGTAGGAATCTAGCAGGCCCTGGAAAGCCCGGGGAAAGGCCAGAGCATAGGCCACAAACGCTGCCCGTTCCCCTGGATGTGGCTCCTGAACCTCTAGCCCCAGGTAGTTGCATACACGCTTCAGCCACAGATTTACGCTGGCAGGCAGGTCCACTGTGGGGCCCTCACCTGAGGCTGGAACCAACATCTGTAGAAAGAGATTGGTAAAAGATGGCTCCAGAGTGTAGTGCAAAGCCTGGGAGTGGCCAGGATAGCATGGCCTCAGGGCAAAGGTGATACCATGCAATGGCAGCTGTCTAGTGCAACCTTGGACCAAGTGCCCAGGGCAATATCTGCCAGCATTTACAGCAAGGCCCAGACCACCCTAGCTGGGGCTAAGAACTGGAGTTGGAATCTTGTCCTCTAGAGTAAGGCTGACTGCAGCCCAGCATGGAAGCACACACCAAGACAGAAACAGGAGGATCAAGATTTCAAGGCCAACCTGGGGTACACAGGACCCTGACAAAAAACAAAAGAGCACTAACCGGGTCTGGGGGCACCTCACTACCCGAAAATGAAGTGACAAAGGAATGGGCCAGGGTCCCTGCCACCGGCACACCCCTCAGTTGTCCAGCAAGTGTGTTGCTGCTGCTGTCGAACCCTGGGTGGGAAGGCAAGGGCAGGCTTAGGGGACCCCCTGAGTGATGATGGTACCTCCCCTTCCACAACCTATGCTTTTTCCAGGCCTCACCGCCCAGGTAGCTGTAAATAGATGCTGTGAAGCCCCCATCTGGACCCTGGGCTCGCCGCAAGCCGAACTCTAGCAGTCTCTTATCCGGCCCTGCAATCAGGCGAAGCCGAGCAGCGTTGGTGGCTACGAGGCTGTAGAGAGCGACAGAGGCCAGGAGAGCC